GGACAGAAGTGTGCACAGATGATAGGTGGAGACATAGGGAGAAGATGGCCATCAGAAGGCCACGGAAGACAGCCCAGAACAGGCTCTTCCCTCACAGTCCTTAGAAGGAACCAACCCCACCAACAACCTGATTTCAGGCTTCCAGCCTCCAGAACTGTGAGAGAATAGATTTCTTTAAGCCTTCAAGTCTGTGGTACTTTGTAATGGAAACTAAGAAAGAAGATAAAGGTTGCTGTAGGGGGGCCAGAGACCTAACCTAGCAGGGCTCACCTCCAGGTAAGTGCAGTCAGTAGTCACCTCCAACATTCCTACACAGAGTGTCAGTCCTCCCGGCTCCCTCTGGGTAGGTGAGGCCATATGACTAGTTCTAACAGGTGAACTGTAAGCTGAGGTGACCAGGACTCATCAGTCAGAAGCATTTAAGATCCAGGACCCAGCGACTCCTGAAGCTCCATACGGAGGTGAGATGACAGACACCTGTGTGGAGGTGGCTGAGTGACTTCACTGAGCAAAGCCACCCTGCTGACCCCTGTAGCATGAGAGTAAGTTTGGTTTTAAGCCATGAGGCTTTGGGGGTTGTTACCTGGGTGAAACTAGCTTGTCATGACTCATGCAAGGAGATGAGTGAGGGACAAGGGCTGGCCTGCCATCCAGTCCTCAGGGCCTGGAGCCATGGGCTTGTACTGAACACTATGCCCAGTGCCTCCTCTCAGCCCTGACGCTCTCCCCTACACACACTCTCCACAACCCAAGTTCTTTGTTTTGTCCTCCTTTCAGGCCATTTTAATTATAAATGCACTCTCTGTGCGAGTTTAAACCAGGGAAGTTGAAAAAAGAAATGAGAAAATTAATAATTTTTTTCTTAAATGTAAGTGGGGCAGAAATAATACCATGTGCTCACCAAACACTTTTTCTCTTCCAGAACAAATAGAAGATGTAATTCCAAGTTTCCCTCACAATTAAGCTAGGGTCAGGAATGTGGGTGACACCAATGAATACCACTTCTAGGCCTAGTCCATAAAAACACCCAGGCCATCCTCCAGGCCCCAACTCTTTACTCACTGGCTGGAGGATCCAGAGGTCCCAATAAAGGACTCCAAAGTCCTAAAGTCTCCCAGGCCCTAGAAATAGTGGAACCATGATAAAGGGGAAGCCTGGGCTCCCCAGCCATTGCACTAAGGGCCATCAACAGCAGGCCTCTTGGTCTATGCACGAGAAGAAAATGAGCTGTTACTACGGTATGTTTATTATCTTAAGCCCAGTGGTGCACCTGTGTAACAACCCAGTTTCTGGAGAAGAAAGGACCTGATTCAGAGTGTTTGCTGATTTCTGTGGTTAAAAACACTCTCACCATGGCTACTAACTAAATCCAGAATTATAAGAAATGCTAAAAATCTGCTTTTGTGCATTGGTGCAGCACTCTCCAGCACCCCACTGGTTAATGTTCTTTGGGTTTAGGGTTTGTTTCCAAGGC